CTGGTTCTGGGCAGAATATGTATGGGGGAAATCTCTTCCCTGAGCTGCGAAGGGCTCTTGACTTTGGCAGAGAGCACAGGGGGTCCCCTCCCTTGGAGCAGAGCCCAGGAGTGCCAGGCAAACCTTTCCCCCAGCGAGCCTTGTATGCCAAGGATTCCCTGGGCAAAGTGTAGGATGGTGGGGAAAATCCCTCTCCCATGCCAAGCAAAAGGTGTGACCAGGAAATCCCTCCCTGCTGCTCAGCAAATCAAGGGTTGAGGGGGGTAATCCTGCCCTCCATCCCTTTCCCGCTTAGAGAGCCAGAAGTGTGGGCAAGGCTCTTCCCTAGTGCAGAGCAGGACTAGGGGTTCCTTCCCCATGCTGAGAAAAGCCCTTCCTTCCCACCCCACCCTCCAACTTGGAGCCAGGCATGTGGGGAAAGTCCTGTCCAGCATGGAGCAGGGCTAGGGGTCCCTTCCCTCCCCCTCGGTGCTGTTCTGTACTGGGGAAGGGGTTTTCCTGTGCTCCTGGCTCTGTCGGGGGGAGATTCCCACCCCACACCCTCTGTGTTTTTGCTCTTCTCAAGGGGTAGAAGGGAACCCCCATTCTTGCTTCTGGGGTTGAAGTGGTTTCCCCTGTGCCTGGCTGTGCAAGCTGGATGCTGGAGGACCCAGCAAAGACCTTATCACCGGATATGTGGTATGTCACACGTTCAGTTTAATGCTTGATAGAAACAAGCTACAAAAATGTTGTATGCTTTTCAAGCAACATCTTTGTAGCTGGTTGGCCATGTTTGTAGCTGGCTGGCCATTTTTATCATGTGATTTAATTTGCATGTGTAGCAAAATATATTGTACAGTCACCCAGTTAATTGCATAATATATGCAACATGTCACAGCCTTAAGATGCAAACTGTAAATAGGACTACTTTGCTGCTGAATTGAGTTGTATTAAGGATATAGTTGCCAGCACATTTCACAGTGAATGTCACATTACTGTACCGCACTTTAGGGAAAGGAGCAAACAAAGCATGCGTAATTGTAGCTCCCACTGGGAAATCAGTTGGAATTTTTTTTGTGTGCTGTGTGTTGGCGAAAAGTGCCATCG